CAAGACAGCATCACTTTAAAGCTTCCTGACTTTTTAGATGCATCTTACTTCCTGTTCTTGTCAGCCACACTGTGGCCTGAAACATTCGTCACCTGAACTGCCTCACACTCAACACTGCCCACACATCGCTGCTAGGTCCCTCTTATCAAATGTTTCTCAGTCCTCTCTACTCCAGGAAGCTTTGCACTGTGTTCTCTAAAAGCATCTTCCAAAATACACATTGTATCCTGAGCTTTTGTTTCTAACTAAATCCTTCTTTATTTTCTTACAAAGCTGGAATTTTGTTCTTTTAGGATACTGTTTCCCTTGGAACTTCCTCAACAGGGAGTTGTTCACTCTTGCAGGCCCAAGACAAGGTCCCTATTCTAGGTTTCCTCCATCCTGCCACCTCCAAGCTACCCATCATGTCATTCTTCTGCCACTTGTATCTTCACTTGATTTGATTTTACAAGATGGCTCGTTATCCCACTCTGATACACTCATGATACAAGCAAGTCACCAATCTCCTACTCATGCTTAAAGTTTCAGGAGCTAGCCTATGGTAGCTCAGTCTTCCATCAGGAATCAACTGAGAGTGTATTAGAAACAAAGAAAAAAGAAACAAAGAAAGAAAGGAAAGTAGTCAACCTGAGCCATTCCCACAATCCCATACTTTCACACGAGTTATTTAATAACTTTAAATAACTAGTTAAATATAACGTGTTTCTTGATTTACTACATTTTGCCAGTCAAATGCCCATAACATATCCTTGGAAAAGGACATTTTGCTCAGTGATTCTCTTACTTTCCCGTTAACAAATGGGACCCCAAAGGTCTTTTCCTGTCTCCAACCTTCCCCTACCCCAAATCCAATTCTGACATCCTACCTATTTAGCTAAGATTTCATTATCAAAACTTCAACCACTTCGCGACCGAGCTCCTCAGTTGCCACATTCTTCTATTCCTTATCTGCTGTCTGGGTAAAAAACTATACAGAGCCAACTCAACTTCATAAATCACTTATTATAGAAATATTTACTGAGAGTGCTTGGAATGCTTGACATTTTTCCAGGAACTTACAAATACAGCAGGAAATATGAAATTCAAGTACAGAGCTGAGTCAAAAGATCGAGGACTAGAACTACAGTATGACTGCAGATCCCTTAGTCTTTGGTCCTTGCTCCACCGCATTACAAAGGCTACCTGACATTCCTAATCTCTGAGCATAACGTCCTCCATCCTCCATGCTTCACCTCACAGATAACCCCCTTTCCAGTCTCTCAACTTCTAAGCACTAAGATCACAGGCAATAAAAGTTCCCTACACATCTGCTCCCTGATCCTTTTGTACCACATTCCTTCTGACCTTTTCAGAATCTCAGTGTATGGAGTTCCCACACCCCTCCATCTCAATTACTACCAAGCCTTCTATATACTTTTCGGGACTGAAAGCTCAGATGGCAACTGTTTTTGCTTTATTCAATGCTTATTTCTTTAAAATCAAGTCACAAAAACATACGCTGTACAATGAACAACTCTCGACAACAAAATTTTCATTGTATTTTTCAACCCACTAATAGAAACATCTGGAAATAACGTAAGATGATGCAATTAATAACAATTACACTCAATACAAAAGGCCGTACCTCCAGTTCATTTTCCAGTTTCATTACTTTTGTCTTTAATTGATTTTCTATTAAAAGAAAAATACAAATGTTTTAATTGGTTAAATTTTCTGCAATCAGATTTTAAGTGAATGTTTATAAAATAATACAATTACCAAATCCATGGAACAGGCATTCTAGAACTGTCTTGACCTGAGTTAAGTGAAATCTCACGTCAATGGGCAAAGCTATGTCAGGAACTCCCAAGCCTGAGAACCATGGCAGATGGGAGAACCTTCCCTCCATCTGAATGTGAATATTGGGAATGTGTGTAGAAAATGTCCACCACAGCTTTCTTCCCCATCATGTTTATGGTTTCCCTACAGAGAATACTGGTAATGATATTTCATTTATATTTTAATAAATAAAGTTTGCCTGAAGTTCAGAGAGTAAAACAGCTGTACTGATCAGCCTTACAGACCAGGCAGTGGTGACCACACACACCTTTAATCCCAGTAGCCACACTAGTTTTCCATAGAAACTGGGCAATAGTGGTGCACACCTTTAACCACAGCACTAGAGAGGAATATAAGATAGGAAGAGACAGCTCTCAGACAGTCTTATCCTGAGATTCCTGGAGGCAGGATTATCATTTAGAACTAAGGTAGAGGTAAGAGCCAGTGGCTGGCTGTTTTGCTTTTTTGATCTTCAGGTTGAACCCCAATTTCTGTCTCTGGGTTTTTATTAATCGTGCTACAACTACTCCTACCAAGATTAGCTCAATCTGCCTCCTAGTTCAATTGTATACCAGAAACCCTGACTCCCATTTTAATCACCCGACTTCATGTTCAGCTACACACAAGAACCCCGCTTCTCTTTAAGTGTATACAATAAAGACACTGAGCTTCTGGGGTGCTGCAGACTCCATGAGAGAGCCTAGTTCACCCGAAGCCAACTTTTCTGTGTGTCTTTATGGTATCTTTTCTTCATCCTTTGCCACATCAGTCAGGTCAGTCCCTGAAACGGTGCAAGGATGCAGCATCTTTCAATACAAGCGGAAAACGCATTTTGTAGAATATGATAAATTTTGTACTGACAACTAATGGAGACACAACAGTTTTTTTTTCCCCCAGACATTTACCAAATTTTGCTTGTTCTTCTCCAGCCTTTTCGACTTCTTCCAAGGCTAGCTCAACTTCCTGAGCTTTCATCTAAATATAAAATTGAAAGAGAAAAATCTGTATTGTTTACACTGTAATATAAACAGGGAAAATGCAAATATTGTTTCATTTGCTAGTTTGGTCATTAGTGTGTACAACAGCTAGCACACAAAGACCATTAGTACATATTTGTTGGATACTTAACCTGTAAATTCTAGAATGGCAGGATTGTGAGTCATCTCTGAATTTTCTATTAAATTTTATAACCACTATTTTAAATGTTTTTGTTATCTTTTTCCCATTCCAACTGTATATAATTTTATTTATTAATTCTGCATTACAACTGGAGCTTCTCAGCTACAATCCCCTTCAATCTGTACTATAAAACACATCTAATTTTGCTTTCTTAAGTAAATTTCTGTATTTGTCAATTATGGCTCAAAAACTTTTATTCAATCCTAACCTTCTAATAATGGAAAATACAGCCTCAAACCCCGGGATAAGAAATCCAAACTACCAACCCAATAGCTGTTTGTCTACAGCTTGCTACATGCATTTACCCTAACTTAAAGAGTAAGTACATATTCTTTCTCAGTATTCATTTATGAAAATCTAGAATCCTCTTACCATTTCACCATTAGCTTCTAGAAGAGACATTTTGCATTTTTGCTTGAACCTTTGGCTATATTTATGTATTTTTAAAAAGTACTTTTTCCCCTACACACTCTTTAAATGTTTTTAGAATAGGAACTAGATTTGCTATACATAGTACAACCCAGTCTTTAAATATACACTTGAAGAACTTATTTTTGAGGGATGACATAGGCATTCCAAATATTTCCATAAAAATGAGTTTACATAGGAATAGATTCCCACATTTCCTCTACAGTTAGTCAAATATCTCCTCCATACCAACCTTCATTAGAGACTGAGTAATTCTGAATAGATGTATCACATTTTCTTGTTCTTCATCTTTTAATTCGTTTACTTCCACCTACGGACACAAACAAACAAACAAAAAGATGGACTATTTCATACCCTGCCCAAAAATACAAGCACTCTTCCCATTGTGGCGTTCAGTTATTCCAAAGAGCAATTTCAATTAATCACGTTTTGTCTATGTACAAACTATGTGTTAAACACCTTGGATAAGGAAATCAATAAATTATCTGCCAGCTCTTCTTGGCGTGGTAGGTCATCTGGGTCAACCTTGATTAACTCTTTCCAGTTTATGTTGGGTGGCATCTTGAATTCTTTCGCCGCCTTTCAGCTCCTACAAGAAGACGGGTGGATTTTAGCATCTTCAAGGAAAATGGCACTGCAGCGGCGCTTACGTTCTCATTCTACCTCTGGGTGTTGACAAAGAGCTATGGCTCCTGGACCACAGAGAGCAGAAGCACGGGCAAGCAGCCACGATGAGAATGAGTCCACCTGGCACAGCCTATCCGATCATGTACACGCTAAAATTATTAGCTTCCTTGCTAAAAGCGAAGCCCTAACCCCTAAATCCTCCCTTCCCAGTCCCCTACCAGCAAAGACGATACTAACTCCCAGCATGTTTGAATTTTGAAAACGTCCCCCGATTCTGAGAAGGGACGAGAGGATTTTTGGTTAAGGGTACAAAGAAAAGACCGAACTGGAAGGTGTGTGTGAGGAACCAAGTTGAATCAAGAAGGCCGAGGCACTGCGGAGGGGAGGGCAGAAGGACGGGGTCGGTAGACTGCACACTGTCCCTCGGGATTAGGAACCAGTGAAAGACACTAAGCCGCTCTCCGGGCTCATGGGGAATCCACCCACCCAAACCCAGCCTTGCAACCTGCGGCAGTCGCTCATCTACAAAGACCGCCACCGCGGGTTCGGCCGCCGCCCGGGCGTCTCTTCCAAGAGGTGTCCTCGCGCACTCCCGCTCCCGCCAAACTCTTCCTCCTGAGCGAGCCCAAGCGGCGGTCGCTGCTAGGCGACACCACTCCCCGCCCAGCCAAAGACCGGAACTAGGCCCCGGATACGGGGGCGGACGGGGGGGGCGCCTACATTTCACGACGGTGGGAAAAGCTTTACGGTTATACTTCCCCGCCGAGGCCTTTATTCTAGATGAATGGAAAGTCAGGAGAAGAGAACTCCACGTCCCAGAGTGCAGTTCGGTATTGCCGCCGTTCACTCTGGGACTAGAAGTCCCGGAGAGCGAGGAGCCAGTTCCCGGCGTGCAAAGCGGGCAGCTTGCGGCCGCCGCGGAGAGGCTGAGGGAGGAGCGGGAGGCGGGAGGCGCGGCGGCGGCGGCTGAGGTGCGGCTACCCCGAGATCGCGGGCGTGGCGGACTATGACAGTGCTTTCCGCCGAGTCCCTCTCCGGTTCGCTCTCCCGGAGGCTTCCGTGAACCATCCCCCCCCGCCCCCCGCGGACCCACCCTCAGGTGAGGTCGGGGTCAGCGGCCGGGAAGAGATCCAGGGAGCCCTGGAGCTTTGGGGACGCTCCAGCTTGGGGCTGCTGGGCCGGCGGGGTCTGGCCGAGGTGGCGAGGACTCCTCCCGCTGCTCAGGTGTGTGCTGGGGGCTCCCGGTTAGTGGCTTCAGTGAGAGGGAAGTGGGAATAGAAAAGTTTCTGCTCGCCTGGGATCTACCGTATGCTTTGGAGAAGTGGAGCTGGGGCCCCCCGAGTTCACGGTCTGGGGTGAGCGGAGCATCCAGAGCGGGCTGGCTCTCGGCTCGCCCGCCCCCTGCAGCCGCTTGAGGACTGTAGTGCTTATTAAGTTGCGAAGGCCGGAGAAAGGGAGCCCTATAAGAGGGAGACAGGGGGGCCACGCCAAGTTCAGGCATTCTGCTGTCATTTGCCGGGTACCAAGGAGGGGGGCTCTTAGGTGAAAGCGCCTTCTCGGGTGTTTGCCGCCTCCCTTGGGCAACTTTTGCCCATTCCATAGTTACTGTGCACCAGCAGGTAACTTAGGAAGCTGTAGGCTTCTATTTGAAACAGTGTGTTTCATTTACACATGCGCGCGCGCGCACACACACACACACACACACACACACAGGAGAGACAGAGATAGAGAGAGATTAAGAGAAAAATCTGTAAAAGATAAAATTTACTTTTGAAAAATTTCTGTACAAACCGTTTGGTTGAGAAAAACAAGAAATAGCTTAGAAGAAAATGGTATTTGAAACAAATATTAAAGAAATTCATCAGATTTGTAGGGCTGATTACCATGTTTGTTTTTTTTCCGAATACTGTTCAATTTCTGTATTATTCTTGTACAGCAAAACACGTGCCTACATCTAAGAAGTTGCCACTTGGCGACGTTAAACACAGTTTTCTCATCCATGCTTTGGTCACATCACTAAGGCATTCTAGAAACTAGTATTGGTGAAGTAGTTGCATTTTATAGCTTTGTTTACTCAAGAATATGAATTATTTTTCATGTTCATTTTGTCAAAACTACTGAGAATGAAAACAGTATTCATGCTGGGCAGTGGTGGCTCAGCACTTTGGAGGCAGAGACGGGAGGGTCTCTGTGAGTTCGAAGCCAGCCTGGTCTACAGAGCGAGTTCCAGGACATGCTCCAAAAACTACTGAGAAGCCCTGTCTCAAAAAAACAAAACAAAAAGAAGAAGAAAACAGTATTTATTGATCACAATTTCACTGGTGTAATATATTAAGAATTTGTTTTTAATCACAAAACCTTGATATTTTTCTCTTGATTTTTATTACATACTTTATTTTCTGTTACTCCATTACTAATTCTGTGTTGCTTGTATTGGTCTTTCTACCCCATTTCTCTTTTTCTAGTTTATATTTGTAATAGCTTCAAGGGCAGACAGTCTCCATAAATTTTATTCTCTTCGGAAGAAGTAGTTAACTAATAACTGACGAAGCTAAGGTTGTAGATCTCAGTGACAATCGTCACTGAAGTGTAAGCTTTCTTAAATTCCGTTGTCTAATTAGTCCTAACAGTATTTTGAGCAATACTTGACCTAAGAGTACAAGAAACAAGAGCAGAAAACATGATTTCGTGAGCCAGGTCTTCTGTGAGTCAGGACATTTAACTGAAGTTCCGATCCTGCAGCTTGATGTATAATTTTTAAAGGGCTAAGATAGTTTTTCATCAGAATTTCTGTGTTTCTCAGTTTTTTTTTTTCTGAGAATGAATTTTATGCGAGAGTTTTGTAAATGGCCTTGTCGCAGGCGTGCATGCCTGGACCTGTGTTCTGTCTAACCTGGGCTTGTATGACCAGTTTTATCTAACCAAAGTCAGTCTGTGAGAAAGCCTTGCTTTCTGTAATTGTTACCTCTGTGTTCTGTCCCAGTGGACTTCAGTTCGTTACCCGTCTGTTGTTCACCTACCGCTCTAGTTTCTAAAACAGTGCATGACCGTGAGAAATTTATTAACAAATCCCTATTATGGTAAAGGTGTTTTTCAAGATTTTTTTTTTCTTCCAGGAGGAACTCTGTGTTCAGGTAAAGGAATGCGTGTATAACAAGCAGACACTTGTCTCTCTTTGGCATAAGGCAGCTAGAAGGATAGGTATGGTTCAGTGTGAAGACAGACTTTACATATGGAAGTTCTGTAGACTTCAGGGTGGTAATAAATCGAGGACTATAGAAAAAGTCTGGATGATGTTGTTGGTTTCCCAAGAAACAGAACTGGGAAGGAATTAGCTTTGTCCTATAGCTGTATTTTCCCCCAAGTATATCATTAGATTATTACCCCAGGAAGAACTTAATATGATTTAGTTGAAGGAATTGAACTTATATCTATAACGTAGCTGCATTGGATTCTATGTGTATATATGCTGATATCTCTTTTTTGTCAGCAAACAAGTTGGGCATTCCATTTGCTTCTGCTGCATGCATGTGTATATATGCTAATACCCCCATGGGTCTTGTCTAGTGTGGAGTCCTATGTAAGCTCCTTTTCATCAGCTCTGTCCTGCAGGAAGCCTTGAACAAAGCCGTGACTGCACTCGGGACCCTTACTAGGACCAATTCTCCTCTTGATGTTACCTCACTTTGGGAAGTCTTTAAAGCTTGTATCCTAACCCCTGCATCTATTCTGGATCTCACTTTACTGCTGACTTTTTTTTTTTTTTTTAAGTAGCAGCAAAGATAGACATAATGGCACATAACCGTAATCCCAAACAGGAAACTGAAGCAGAAGGGTCCTGAGTTAAATAGACTGGGTGACGTGGTGAGATTGTTTAACACACACGCACGCATGCATGCACACAAACAAAACATAGTATATGATAACAAAGCACTCGACTACTGAACTACATTCCCTGCCCTTATATGGGGTTTTGGTCTTCAGAGAACCCTCAAACACCCATAAGACTCTGAATCTGAACATAGTAGTCAAGTAAGCAGCCTTTTGTTCTCCTTGTCTCTTTATTCAGCCTTAAAATTATTGATGGCAAAGTGTGTGTGTGTGTGTGTGTGTGTGTGTGTGTGTATGAGAGAGAGAGAGAGAGAGAGAGAGAGAGAGAGAGAGAGAGAGAGAAGGCTGTGAAGTACCATATCTACCTGAAGGAGTGAGATCACATCCCATTTGCAGTGAGCCTAAGCCTGGGGGGAGAACAGTTCTCAAAGTTAATCAAATTTAGAGTTTTGATGATTAAAATGGAACTAAACATTATAATAATAAATGGAACTTCTGTAACTCAAAAGGACCATAATTTTAAAATCATGCCTAACTATAGATGCCATGAATCTATCCAGCTTTATTAAACTAACACTTTATACTCTTTATTCTTTAATCTCTAGAACCTAATAATCTTACTTTATGATGAAAGGTCATTTGAAAATGACAGCTCAAAAACACTGAACTCTAATTAGCAACATTTAAAAGTTAGGGATAGTCTTCCTGGGAGCCTTCCCTGTTCTTAGTCATTCCTTCACACTTTGCCTGAACAAATGTTTGCTCTCCTTTAAAAGATGAAGACATGAATGTGGGAAATGGCTTTGTGGGGAGGAAGCAGGAAGAAGGGAGAGAGAGTGGAGGTCAGAGTAATGTTGTGTACATGATTTTGGAAGACTACAAAATTAATAAAAAGCACCCATAAAAAGAAAAACCGTGATTAGTTTTAATTCAAAACTGCATTTATAATTTGAATGTATTCAACTTTAACAAGTACTTAAATGAGATGCTTAATTTAAACCAAACATTAGCAGTCTAATTATATGTCATTAAATGATGGGAATGTATTCATAAATGTGTGTCATTAAACCAGTATCATTGTGTGATCATTCTGGGGCATACTAACACGAACTATAAATCTCACTAGGCAGTTTTAATCCCAAAAGTACTATTCAGCTTGTATTTTGTTAATCACAGTGCCATGTATTGCATGACAACTTCACTAACTTTCATAAAGCTAGTAAGTTAAACTCAAAACTAGCAACTCTCATGGTGTTATAACTCATAGATAAATTAGTTAGCTTAATATTTTGTATTGCATATTTGTACAGATAGCCTGTTATAATTTTGAAACTAGCATGTCAATTTTCAACATGCCACATTATCGCCTATTAATATGTTTGTGTTATTAAAACCTTTAATCTAAGAATATATTTCATCACAAGTAAATTGGTCTTAGCAGAGCTAGGACCCAAGGCTTTATAATGAGAAACGTTTCCAACTTTATATATCTTTAAAAATCTACATTATAATAGATACCGGAATTGCTTTTTGATTTACAGGTATGTGCATGCGTGTACATGTGCACACGTGTGTGTGTGTGTGTCAATTTAGTAACACAATAGTTCTTCACTGCACTGTTTAAGTGCACTGGGTAGTATATCTTCTTGGGATCATCACTCAGAAACCTTCTAACATACTATGGTTGTCATTCTGCATATTTCCTTTGTTACTGCTCTATACTGTTTAGGAAATGATGTGAAGTGTCCCACAACCCCATGTGACGAATACTTGTGTAGTATTCAGAGGAGCAGCTTTTCGGGAGTAATTGGATCATGACTTCTATAGTACAAGCAATCTGTTTGTAATTGAGTGTCTCTTGAGAAGTAGGAAAAGTTGGTGGGTGGAGTCTGACAGAGGATGTGGGTCTCCGTGCATTGGAAGGCTTTGACTTGCCCTGGCTCCATCCTTGTCTCATCTGGTCTTTCCTGCCTTCAGCTTAGCAGCTTACTTCCCTCAGGCTTCTCTGCCATCCTGTTCTCTCATCCACAGGACCAGAGCCGTTATCCTGGTGTCCGTTCATTGAACCTCTGAAACCATGAGCTGAAATGAATCCTTCTGCCCTTGAATTGTTCTCTTAGATATATGATGGCCACAGCCCGGTTCTGTGCTCCAATTCCCCTCTCCATTGTTTATTAGTACGCACTATTTAGTTAGTGTTGTCCCAGCTGGCTGAAAGTGAGAAACATCCTGAAACTTTTAGTGACTTTAAAACTTTCCTATTCTGCTTTTCTATGTAAGGAATGTGTGTTTCTGAATGAAAATCTTTACTTTGGAAATCCTTTTCTCATAGAAATTTGAAGCACTGCTCCTCTCTGTGTTTTGTGGAGTGTTTATTTTAAATCGTACTATTG